CAAAAATTGCATTCAAATTCTGAATCCGTTTTAAAAAATAACACTACAAGCCTAGCATTCGTCTCATTTTCTAGATGACACTTTCGAGGTTTAACCGTGTGACACGCACTGGTTTCCGATGTATACAGGCGCAGTATCACGTCAACGTGGTGTGGTATCAGAACAGGCGAGTTGTACATGGGTCCTTAAAATCAGCATGCGAGATAGAGTTGAAGTCCCTGGGTTATTGCTGAAGCCGTTGTGACTGGAGGATATGGTGTCTTAGCGCTTTTCCTAAGGCTACTTCAACAGCCATATTAGCAATCAGTATATCTTATGCTATATTAGAATATGACAGCAACAGTATCTATCCAAAGGAATAAGAATATGACTGGTAAAGTACTAGAGAAAGAAAAGAAAGGATTTTCGACTTCATCTAGTACTTTTTGAGTAATCGGCTTCACAGCGATCACGTGTTAGACCAACAAGTCTTGTTCATACTGAACCAGTGAGGAAGGTGCCGCTAAGGAAGTAGCACCTGAAGATCTGGCAGAAGTTCAAGACTGCTGGACTTACCACACAGAGATTTGACATGAAAGTAATGGCTGAAGTGAATTCACCGGTTAGGAAGATTAGATTTCCCAAGCGGATTATTAACAAAACAGGTATTTTCCGGTTGGAGACGAAAAAGCACATCGTGCTCAAGGAGCGCGAACTTTTGGGAGTGTATGGTGAAAACGCTCATCTTCATCTTTCTGTTCAACGCTTCCCTCTTCAGTGTTCTTCCCTGTCTCATATTCTGCTTCATAGTTCTCTTCTCCTGTACCGAATTCCAGGTACATCTGTCAAGCCCTTCGCTGGCCTGTCTCATCTTCCTGCCTAAAATGCCTATACAGGTTTTCTACAACGTCAATTTCAGACATTTTCAATGTTCTTCGAGGCCTGCTTTCTCGGTTGTGTTCCTTAAAACATATAACTCTTTCCTGATCATTGCTCTGAAGGTATCCGTTTGTAGCCCAGTTCTTACGTTCTTGGATGTTGACTTGAATTGTGTACCGTTTATGGCCTATTTATCGTTATAAACAAATCATTGGAATCTGAAAAAGTTTGGGCATTGGGTATATGATATTCATCATAATAAGGGTTTTTGGATTTCCCAATGAATGAAAAACAAAACGGTATTGTTTCTCATTTATTGGGTAACACAAAAATCCTTTATTATAAATCATTGGAGTCATCAAATAATTTTCTTCTCTCGTTCATTTCGTCACCCCATTTTCTCAGTCATATTACCCATTAGAATTTCGACTGCGGCCTCGAACTGGGTTCTTCTCTAGTACTATTTGCAGTTGATTGTCTTCAGATGTCCTCCTCTTTCTCATTGTCTGCATTGTTAGTAAATATACAGCACTGTATAATAATATCCTTCCTTTCTTATCACTTAAATCTTGGCCATTTGTTCCTGAAGGAGAATGGTTACTACCGCGTGAGAGCCTTCAGTGTTATTGTTAACATGATAGCCACATCCTCGTCGTTGTGGTCTGGGTGACTGGAGTGTATTGTCGAATCTCCAAATAACAGTTTGGAAACATCACTACCATTCCGACTGCTCTCGTAGATTTCTTACACTCCTGCACAGTATCTTTTGATTTCTGCAATTTGAGCAGCCTTGTTGTTCAGCCTGAAAGATGGTTTTGATAGAGCGGGCTTGCTAGCGCTTCCATGCACACAGGACAAATCGGTAGACTGGTTTGTAAGAGGCTTTCATCAGCCCATGGCATATTTCCTCTAATATGGTAGTCTTCCTGACTCCAGGTAAGGCAGGTTACTTTTTTCTGTGCCTGGAAGTTCCTACATATAAGATAGCGATTTACGGGCTAAGGTCACAAACTACACAGGCTTAACATGTACATTTCTGATCTTAGGAGCAGCAATGAAGTAGGCGAGGTTTAGAATGTATATAATTGCAATCTGTTTCGCCCATTTTCATCCCACAAACTTTGTTATATGGGCTAAATCGAAGATGAATCACCACATCTGCTCTCAGTGCTTTTTCACGGTTAGTGAATGGCAGTCCTGTGTCTTAGGCTGCAATTCAGGAGTTTCGCTCAGCTGGCTTTACTCTAACGGCCTTCAATAAGAAAAACACACTTGTTTAACTGCTCTTTAAAAACTATGCCAGGGAGCACTACTGCGTTAAGTCTAGGCGCAGATGATTTCGGCTTTAGCAGCTGTCAAATTTAGATGGTTATATATTTGTTCCACTTCTGTTACCACGGTGGAAGTGAATTCTCCATGGGATTTATCCCCATCAAAAATGAACCTTCACAGATTCTCTCTTCTTGATGAACTAAAACAAAGCAACAAATCGATCGGGACTGTATGGTATCATTTTATTCTGTCGGTCCTCGTTAAGTGCAAACAACCTGAAACGATTTTGATATCAGTGTACGAAATTTTCACACACTAGTTAACGAGTGTAGATGAGGGTTAGTTACATTACGTAAATGAATATGAAGAGTTGCAAGAAAAAACTAACAAGTGAACTGACTGTTTTTGGCATCTACTTGAACCAGAAATGTTAAGATTTTGTGAAACTGTTCACACACTGCTTCCATTCCATTTTCTTAAGCCACTGTATGGGAACGCGTGAGTACTAATCGCGAAAGTAGTTATCGATACGTAATTAGATGACACAGATACACACGCAAGCTATCTAGAGGAGCAGGAAGTAAATGCAACTTATCCAATAATGAATTTTAAGGGGTAAGTGAGTTTATTACTAAGCTTCTATGCAGTACATACAATTCCCCCACAGACACCCTTCAGTACAACAGCGGTATCTCTTCCTTAAATGAGGATTGTTCATACACTTTTGCTGCGCATGGCTGCTTGCGACCCCGTGAGCGTTTGCCTGACATTCTTTGCAAATCACACGATAAAAGAACCTCGAGGCTTCACTTTTTCCTTCAAGATCGCTTTGAGCCGTTCACTATGAAAGAAACCAGTATCCCACACTTTTTCATAGTCCTTCGCTTTTAGAGAAAAATAATATACATGCTTCCCTGAAAGGGTTCTACAGATTGGTTTGCAAGCACTTTTATATTCTGTAACCCGCTAAATATGTTGTCGTGACAGACTGAAAGCTTTAAAATATGGATATCCATCCTTTGGGCATACATATATGTAGATACAGAAACTAAATTACTATGCAGCTCATAAATGTGAGGTATTTTGCATGGGTCGCGTAACGCGCCTTTGTGAACAAAAATCAATATAAATCAACTCTGCTGAATTCTTCAACCATAAGTTTAGCTCGCCCTGAGAAGGTTGCCCCCATGCAAAATTAAACTGGAAAACGCCTCAGATGTTGGACATGTTGTGAAATGACATCATATTTCGTTGTGCCTGCTACTCACGTTGACGCCTATCCATTTGTAATATTTTTCAAAGAGTAAGGCAAGTAAACAGGAAACGTATATCATGGCATTTTTTAGTATGCAGCGACTTTGTGTTTGCATACATCGACTTGGTCACCCTAACTGAAAGTTAGATCTATCAATGATAGTGTTCAACATGAGAGGCTTACAGGAGAATATGTGTCGAGCCATACTTGATCATCTTGCATATGGCCCTTACGCATAGAAAGGAAATTAATGATTTATGAAACTATCTTGAATGACGCCACTTTCTACAAGACTGAGGCAGTCTGACCACTTGAACATACGACTAAACAAGAACAATACACAGTGTGCAGTCTCTAAGGTTCTTGCTGAGGAACTAGCTGTGAGGGAATTTTCAAATCATGTTTGAAGTAGAGGAAGAGACTGACCTAGAGTAGAATGCGTATTTGTTCATAAAATTTCTCAGCAGTCAGGAAGGGAACTTGTGGATGATAGCTCTTACATGGAGCTGTTTTATTTTGGACCACATGAGCTGCTTTAGTCAATTCGCTGACAAAATTTTTGTCATAGATTTCGGCCCATATATTTGTCTCTCAACCTGTTTGTAGATCGCGATTAATTTCCATCACTGGATTATATATTTTATTTTTCTACAGTATACTGAAAGCAATACTGAGCAATTTATTTGAATTTTTCGAGGAAGAGTTAGGATCGCCGTAATACAGATCTGCTGTTTCCATTTGATCTTTGTTTTTCTGTAGGATCTCCTTTTTGCAATGAGTTGATTTAAGCAACAGCTGTAACAATTCTCCTATTGAGATTATTCTCCCCAGGTGATGGGTAGGTAGCATAAGGTGACGAGTGTGGCTCATTTGTCTTTTTGTTTTCACTGATTAGTTCTGACAATTGGTCCAGTACTTCTGCAATGAAATGAGACCTCGATATTCAGTGGCTATTTTGATAACACAAGCGAATTAAATATTCTGAGGGAATTATTGTAGGGGACTAATAGTAGAGTTCACTAATATCACAAATATGAGAATAATAATTCAAGTCAATGGAATGTTAAATAACAACATATTACCAAAAATGCAGTGACGAGTTATATCAACAAAAAGGATTGCTTGGATACAAAGCTTAAGTCCTCTGCTACAAATTATTTATATAATCCACGGGTACGTTAATTGTTTGGGTTGCGTCTGCTGTAGCTGCCGTGTTCCGGTTGTAGAAACGTCTTCGGTTGAGAGTAGTAGACTCCTACAATAAATCCGAAGTATACAACACGGTGTGAGTTGAGCAAGTAAGCAGAAATAACCAGGGAGAAGGCGAAGTCTCCCAAAGCAAAGTGTATTTCCAATTCTACACGGAAGTTACGTATATTTCAACAAAAAGCGTTTTAAACAAAAATAATGTACAGTATTTCTTAATTCGATAAATAACGGAAAAGTGTAGAATCGCATTGTTACGTACTCCACATAATGTATTGCATCATTTAATATGGATCCAACCAAATGAATTTAAAATTCTAAGTAGAATATCAGGTATATGCGTTCCTCAATTAAGTGCTCATTTTGTTTAAGCTAATTGAATGCAAGATAAAAGTAAATTAATAAAAAGCACATATTTAAAATGGATTATTTGTTACCAATATGTATCATTTTGCAAAAGTTATTATTGCAGTGTTAGCGAATGGATCTAAACCTTTATGAAAAGTCTCGTATTAAAAACCGTTCACGTGAGTTAGGTTTCGTAGAATAACCTATATATTTTATTGTAGCAGAAATTTATAGCACATAACATATGCTTCATATTTAGTTAAGAAATTCTTGTGCACATTTCCTTCCTTGTTTATGCGGTCAGTGTCATAAGAACTTATTTAGCAGTGACTCAGCTGATTCAATGCAAGCTTTCAGAGTTTGTGTAAGTATTTCTATGAGCATTCTGCAAGTCACACTATTATTCACAGCATTGAAAAGCTTCACATATTTGGGAAAACTTTTTTTAATTTTTAAATATATATTATCTTATGAAATAAAATAATCACTGGTAAGACATATGAGCATATGGATGGATTCCATTAATATTTTTTAATTTTGAATGATAGTACATCCCATATTTTCAGGATCATGAGAGACTAATCTCCTTCATTCCCATGTGTATAAGTAAAACACTGGAACATTAGTTTTCTTTGCCGATTTATTTTACCTTTGGGAAACTGTAATAAGAATATATGACTAAGTACTTGTCATGGTTAATACTGCAATAGTGCACATTTATTATAGATGCAGATAGTAAAATATGATAGAATAAGATTACGCTCTTTTTTTCGTTAGTAAGCCGTAAATAATTTCGGCAAACCTAGAATTATCCTGCTCGCATTATTTGCACTGAAGATTCCCCCCCATCTATATTATTAGCCATTCTCTTATAATATTTTGTTAGCGTAGAATTTTTTAATCACAAAACCTATCACATGATGACTTGCCAGTAAAAATGAACAGTTTATTTCCAAAATGGTTTAGTTACGGCGTTAGATTGCAGTACATCTTACCAGAACTACTACGTTAGAGGGAGAGGATTCAAAAATGTTTTATCATTGATGTAAACTAGTCTCTAAATTTTTCCAGGAGGTTTGTATCGAAATAACCTTGCAGGCATTTCAGGTAGAACCTACCAGGAGTATCTTTCTCCAAAATCCTAATATTCCCAATCATAAAATGGTTTTAGTGACATTTAGGGTTTATTAATAAGCACATTTCTTGAAGTTGAATTTTAGAACGTTTCAGTAGCGCTCAGAACGGCTTAAAATACAGTCTCAAATGAGTCCGCTTGAGTGGAAGTTTGAACTCACTTTGAGTAAGACACAGTCAGTTGCTGACACGAAGTGCCCTGTCAGAGAACTCCACTGGTTCTCAGCTAGATACAGAAAAGGAAATTTCAGATGTAAATGATTTGGCTGTCTTTCATGAACAAGTAGTCGGTTCTAAAGGGAAGAAACAGGCCTCATTAACCTATAATGAAGTCTACGAATGAAATATAGAATACCAAAGTGAGCTCAACCCTTAACGATCAATGTGAAAGTGGAATCAAATCTCTTTCAGTTTTTCTTCATACGGGAAATTTGAGAATTCATTCATTGATTTATTTTCCCTCTCTTTACATTATTTCTAATATGTCTGATCTCTATTTGAAACCTATTCTTTCAGTCACCCGTGTATGGAGAATGTAGTCGTGTGATGAGTATTTATGAATGTTCCTCATACTAACATGCATAAAATAGCATCACCTAATAAAGCTGATGCTGATATAATAAACTTTCGCTACTGTATCGCAAAAATGATTGGTTTACTAAAATCATTTTAACTTTGAGTACGGCCTATTTGTTTGCTTTTACAACGGTTAGCAAAGAAGACATCTGTCGCTTTCTTTCACATCTTTGATAGTGAAGCGTACTTAACATCCCTTCATTTATTATCTGCTAAACATTTACTAAGATATCTTGGTAGCGTTTGATAACTGGTGTAATTTGCCATAATTTGGACTATAATGAAGATTTCTTAGTCAAATATTTATCTGACACATGTAATGATATTTCAGTCGAAGTTACAGTGACTATAATATTGGTACATATTGTAATACTATCTTGAGTACAGATGCCACATAAACTTGAAAATACCAACGCAAATTTTCCTTCAATCCAGTCTGAGTTAAATGCTATCACTGGAATCACCCGTCAGTATTTAAAGTTACCTAATAATGCACTTTCTAAATTTCGACTCTTATCACTAGCCATAATCAGCCTAAAATCTACATCAGATTAGTAAAATAAGAACGCAGTTTTGGACCAGTAGAAGCAAGTATAGAGATTGTGTTCCCACGCCAAATTTTACCAATCCATTTTTATTGTCGATGTGCAATGACAAAATGACGAGTAGATACTCAATAAGTTCTGTTCGAGAGACTCTTTCTTTCTTTCAAAGTATTTTGGAAGACGTAAGAATTCACCTTTCGATGTAAACCCTTCATTTATTAAGGAAACTCTAATCCATTTCGTTAGTAATGCTATTGATCACATATCCTGCAGTTACTTTAAATTCCCTATTCCCAAAACATGTTTTATAAATTTGTTGCCGGCTGATTTATGTATTCAATGTGTTGAAATTCTGGCTTTTGATTTGATCAGTAGACTAACCTATTAAATAGGAAATGTAGGCAACATCATTCTAATAGCAACAAGCATGAAGATGCGGTATGTAAAAAGTCACATCATCTTGCGTTTAAAGACACACTCTTAGTTGGGGAGAAAGTGACTCAAAAATAGGATCAATTTTAATGTAGCCTATTAGCACAAAGAAGTATTAATGTTTTCACAGCCCATTTCTAATACACTACAAGCAGATTTGATTAAATGGTTTTACAGAAAATTCAAAATATCTGTACAGCTAGTACGATAGATAGTGAAGATAAAACATTGAATGAAACTGTTGCGGAGGGTCAGTATTCTTTGCAATTTTTAGATCTCATTAGAAGATGGTTAAATGTAAAAATATCCCGCTTTCTCTGACTCTAAGAAAGAGATTTTTCTTAGAAATAGTAAATAGGTAGTATTGTTTTAAGATAACGACTAAGATCTCCATTCTCAAAACATACCACAAAGCCTTCATTACCATTATTAGGAAAACAAAACACCTGACCTGCAAATGTAATCGCATCCTACATCGCATGCTGAATTACACATATGTGTGAGTGTACGCTAATCGGCAGGATCAGTCGCTGTTGCAGCTACGGGTGTCAGAACGCCTGCTTAAATGACTCTGACCACAGATCTCCAAATCTCGATAGGTGTAGATGGTTGACTACCGGTGTCTAAGGAGTGATGCGAAAACGGTTTTCAAAGTTCTGTACAAAAGCCTTCAGTTGCATTTACTCAAATATGCTAAGGTATTAGCTACTTTGTCCTGTGAATGCAAAGGTAATTTTTTTGCCACAGCTGGTCTACCTTTTAAACCCATTATCTGATTATATTACATCTACACCTTATTTCCTTAGTGTTCTGTTTGTTTTGACTGACCTTCCATCTGTTCACTTTCATTCAGATTGGCTTAACATGTGAACGTGTGGTCAGATTGTTAGGGATGGATTGGACAGATAAACTCCAATTCTTCTGACAAGCTTCATTTTTTTAATAATGCCACCGGTTCCACGAAGTGTTAAATTTTATTCGTCATTTTCAGATTCTAGTCAACTTATGATAATTAGCAAGTAAATATTTTAATGTCTCAGTGTTTTCATGAATTTTTTCTGAAGTTCCTATTTCAGGAATGAAACCATATTTGACTAATATCATTTTAAAATAAAGTATTTTCGAAACAAATAAGTCTAAATTAAAATGATATTGGCATTCACGAATGTTTAAAGACACACAATCATAGCCAACTGAAGACCGTTTTACTGAGAATATAAAGTAAAAATTTAGTTAAAAATGTGGCCACATTACTATCCTCTAGAATTCCCGATTATCCACTAACAATGTGAAGCCATCAAAGAAAGTAGAGCAGCTGTTTGTTCCATTTGGTAGAACTGTGAAGTGTATTGTAGCTGTTTTACATGAGTATCACTACAACTTTTAGACCGCAATATAAACGGCTATCTGACTCATCAGTCTATGACAATATATAACAAACAACATAAACTTGGCTCAATTTAACACGTTCACTTCGTAATCTTGAGTTCATGGATTCAATCTGGGTGCACATTGTCGAAAATTCCAAGAAAATCGTCGAATGACCTCTGGTTTTCAATGCTGCTTTAACCAATTTTAGTTCATGACGAAATCAACTCTGAAATCTGAAATACTTAGTGTTAGCAATACATATGCCTGTGTTCATTAGTATTACGATGAAAAAGTACTGGAATTTGTTTGAACTACTGAGTCTGTAAATAAATGCGGACAGTAAATTTGAAAACCATGGTGCTATCTGTATGAAAATTGAACATCTTAAAATATGAGGTTTATACTTAGAAGAGTGCAGTAAATTGAGATATTTTTGTGAGCACGTTTTAGTTATTTAAGGAAGAAAATACACAACTGTATAATGTGATGAAATAAAAAGTGATTCTTTTTGGAAAACATTTCACATAGACACTTGTCTGTGCAGCATTTCTGAAGCCGATAAATGGCTACTAAATTTTATGGTTTTCAATGCTTTTATTATTCCATATCGAAGTTAGATTTATCAGTTATCTGATTTGTGGCTTGATTTTCATCCCTCTCACTGAAAAAAAACAAAATGATGTGAGACTTTTACAAAACGTTATTTCTTTCAAAATGGCAGATGAATTGTAATGCTTGTTAAATGTTGGTCTATGAATTATGGTAGTCAAATGTGAAGAGAAGTAACAGAATAGGGAGAAAAGCTTTATGACGTTCAAAAGTCCCTCATTGGATATTTGACAAACACAATGAATTTAATTGACAGAATTCACCAAAACCAAGGACCAAATGCAAGACATTCGTTACTCCCTAGTGACCAACTGATGTATCAAGTGAAGTTCTACAAGAGATCTGTCTCAAGCTCTAACCCTTCACTAGTAATGTCTCTTAATACAGCATTGAATGATGCGGGCCTAGTTCTCAAAGATGACAGCGGTTCTTTCAAAGTTTCAGATATGCCTTGATAATGAGTGCCAACAGGCACGAAACCAAGACCTACGACTTCTTGTCGGTTGTTCTAG